TTAGAAAAAAATAGAGATGGGGTCTCGCTCTCGCTCAGGCTGGTCTCGAACTCCTGAACTCAAACAATCCACCCGCCTCAGCCTCCCAGAGTACTAGGATTACAAGCATGAGCCATTGAGTCCAGCCCTGATCTTAACAACATGAAAAAAATCAACTGTAGGTATTCACAAGGTTTTGGCACTTGATGTTTCCAAAGTGCATTCCACATTCATTAATTATTTTGTTTGACAAGAAGAGGTATTTTTGTTCATTTTGAAAATCTAGCCCTTAAATAACATACTCAATGCCATTTTATGAAAATATGATTTATCTTAAATTATGATGGTTTTCCAAAGTTAATGTATAGAGAACTTTGAGGGAATATCTTTACACAAGGAAAGAATAAGATGGATAAGGCACATTTAGATTATACTAGAATTGAAAGACTGAACAACAGAAAAAACGAGTTTGACATCCTTGAGAGTCTTCCATTTAAGAAAGAAAAATCTGTTCTGATCTAAAGTACACTACAGAATTGAACACATTACTACTGAATCAAGTGAGACAAATTGTACCATTCTACCTTATTTATCTTTAAATGAATTTATCTTTCATGGTAGTGCAGATGTACAGAGTTGACAGCTTTAGGAACTGGTTAGTTACAGAAAGGACCCTAATAGTGGAAACCTGCCACTCACAACAAACCATATGCATTATTTCAAGGGTATGAGGTTAGAAATTGAAAAGTGGCTCTATTTTCAATGTTCACTCAATCATTTTGATATATGAATGATACTCCAAAGATTCCTATTAGCCATTTCTCTGCCAATTAGAGCTTGCTTGTCCCTTTAAATAAGACCCAGAATGAAATGCTACCTTCTCTACTCAAGCTTTGTGACTCCAAATGATTGATGCTTCTTAGGATCCCTAGAATATCAGCTTTGTGAGAGAGTAGATTTTTGGCTGTTTTGTTCACTGCCATTTCCCTAGCACCTAAAAGTGCCAGGCATATCATTTAATCAAAGAATGACTGAATTATGTATTATCTTATAGCATCTGTAATATTTTTATCCAAATCTGTCTTGTCTCTCTTGTCTTCTTGACTGAAAAGAACCCCACAAAACCAGCAAATATGTTTTTATCTGTCTTTGTAACTTCAGATTCTATTACTAGCAC